ATAAAATTTCCAAAGATTTACAGTGTGAGAAAAAGGGAGAGCAGTGAAACTGGAAAGAAAATAAGCTATATTTTATGTCAGTAGTTTAAAATTGCCCTAAATGAGAGGTTATTCAGTGCTAAAAAACAAAACAAAGGTGAGTCTTCCATTTAAAGTGATAGCAACTTTGTAAGAATGTATGCTTTATCCAAAAAGAAAAATTATACAACAGGAAAAAAACATTTTTTTTTTGTGTTCATCACAATTTACTTGATAGATTTTACATTCAGAATTCTGGAAAAAATGAATGGATGCATACATGGAAAATAAAATGTTTGAAACCTTAAATATGAAAATGAATGAAAAATGAGGGATGAGGATATTCTGGGAGCTGACGTCCACATATATATTGCTGGGGCTGAGTAATAGTGATATCAGTGACAAATGACTCAACTATAGAATGGCACAAATGATGTAAACAAATCATGTAATTTTGGATTTAATTGAATGGCACTAGGAGACTCCCCAAAGGTGATTTGAATGAAGATTTTACTATACTGATATTGACCTTTAAAAAACCCTTTCTTGATTTGACTAGCAATAAATGTTTTAAAGGATTTAAGTTTCAGTATATAAAATGAGAGCTGGAAATTTTAATGGAAGAAGCAGATATAGTTTCAACTATAGATTACACTTACTAAATTATTTCATACTACATTTTCTCCCTGTATTACATGTGAAATATTGTGCATGTCTTCACAAATGTTTATATTTCTTCTCTAAAACTTGTTACTTGCAGCAGTTGTAGAGATGAATACCTTTCAATAAGGACTTTACATTTGATTAGCTAAGATGAGAAGCATACATGAACCCTAATTTTCTCCTTAGTTTCACTTGCATTTTTCACCTACACTTTATTTCCATTCCATTTTGTGTGTTTTTACCCCAGAGGATAAACCTAATTACTGTGACACATTTTGAGCCTTTCCCTCCTGTTTCCAAAGGAATCAGAACTCATAGAATTACGGGAAACCATTGAAATGCTGAAAGCTCAGAACTCAGCTGCACAGGCTGCTATTCAAGGAGCTCTGAATGGCCCTGACCACACTCAGAGAGGTATGGTATTCTCTCTCACTTATAAGGGCTGTAATAGTAGCCCATTACTGGCTTTCTGTTTTTCAAAAGAATGAGTTTTGTACCACATTTGTAGAACCTTCCATATGAAAATGTATGTTTTCAATGTTTCCGTATCTTAAAAAGTTCAACTTCAAAAGTTACTGATTTCCAAAGAGTTTCCTTCTTCTGAGGAACCACTAAGCACTTCTGGTTGACAAATAGCACATCCGTACTAGAATCTCTTGTAGCTCAAGCCAACAATGTAGAACGGAATGGCAATTCTGAATTTTTCAATTTTCTATCCACTTATATTAAATAGGATTGAAGATGGCATAAACGATGCCAACAACAGACTTGCATAAACATGATCAGGCTGCCTTTAAGAGGCAACCAAATAATTTTAGAACCATCAGATCTCTAGTTCTTTACTCACTTTTGTTCCATTTCTAGATGTCTATAGGTCCAATGAGGCCACTGTAAAATCCATGTCCCTCAAATTTTAACCACCTATAGCAGGTAATATAAGGGTTTTTAGAATGATTTTCTTAGTTATCAGATAAACCTATTGGCTTCCTTTAGGATGTGTCATATCTTCAAGCCCTTTTAAACCATGTTTATCTCAGGAAGAATGTGAAATATATGTCTGCTTCAATTTAAAACATTGGCTGAATTATGCACAGTGACTTGAACTTCATTGTTATTTGTACTGTAGAAGAACAATTTTCATTATTTTTTTTTCTGTAATCTGTAAGTCATTCCACATGATGTGTCAATAGACATGAGCAGAAGAAGAAAATGACATTTCAAAGGAGAACAGAACTTAAGAAAGCATAGTTCCATTAATTTAAACTCTGTTCTGGATTTAGAAAAAAACAAGCAAGAATAATAAAGAGATATATTAAATGCTTTATATCATTCCTTAAACAGTCACAATTATAGCCTGGATAAAGGATGTGGGAGAGTTTAAGATAATAATTGAAACACTAGAAAAAGGAGTTACGTTGGGGAAAAGGATATGTCCACACTATTTCCTTTCTCTTTATATTATAGATTTGCGAATAAGGCGACAACATTCATCTGAAAGTGTTGCCAGCATCAATAGTGGTACAAGCCATTCAAGCATGGGTAGTAGTAATGATGCTGATTCTAAAAAAAAGAAAAAGAAAAATTGGGTAAGTACTCTATTAAATAAAACTGCCTGCCTGTCTTTTTGTATAATTCTTTGTTTCATAAATAATATAATGAATGAACTATGTAAATCACTGTTTTAATACCCTTCATAAATATAGTTACTGATGCTGATATAATGCGGATATACTACATAGGTGTAATTTTTTTGCATCTTGCTGTATTGTTTATGTATCAAGATCACATAATATTGTTGATGTAAATAAATATACCTACGTAATAACAGACTTCACAAGTTACTATATTTCAGTTTACTATATACAACATATTAATTGTCCAAAGTAATTTATAGGACGATCCCTGAAATTTGGTAAAAAGTCAAGATAGCAGCCATAAAGGTACAATTGAAGTTTGTATTGATTTTTTTTTAATGTTTGTCATACATTAAAAGTAGGCATAACCTTTATCACATTTTTGCCAATGCTATCTATTTTTTTAACCACATTCTGTAGACATCTTTGATAGTTTATTGTTCCATGAAAGAAATGTAGTAAATATCTTGAAAACATAAATAAAGATAAAGGTCTTGAATTGAGACACATACATCAAGAACTCACATTTTACTGACATAAAAGCAGGAAAATACTTTTTATTGTTAAAATATGTTTATTACACAGGTAATATTTTAAAAATACTGATTCCAACGTCATTCCCTTGATTTGTAATTGCACACTCTTTCATGTTTCTGCAAGGTGAACTCTAGAGGAAGTGAGGTGAATATAAAATCCTGGAAAATTTAGCATGCATCTCAAAGAATTCTATCTTGGCATGATTGCTATTCATTTTGGCATTAGGCTTTTGTACCCTTCTGAAATATTATCCTTTATGTCTCCTTAATGTTTCTCTTCATTTTACCTCCAACTTTAAAATCTGGAAAGGGGAAGTGTTGCCAAAATCCATTTCTTTCTCATTAGAAAACATAAAATGGCGAAAAGAAATGCTGGATGATGGTTAATCAGCTCTTAGCCTCCCAGTTCTTGAACAGGGATGGAAGAGAAAGTTGATTCAAATTCATACCAACCAATCTGTGCTTTCCAAAGTAACATGCCAACTGGAATGCAGTATTTTCCCTCTATTTTGGCCCGTCTTCAAATAGTGTAATGCAGTTTCTTCAAAGAAAATATCTGCCAAAATACATACATTAGAGAAAACTGTATATGAAAAGGTGAATTACTAGCAGATATTACAAAAAATGCAGGTAATAGTGAAAATCATATACAGAGTGTACGTAAGAAAAAAATACAAAATGATGTTTTTACCAACAGAAACCAAAAATTCTGATGAGGGGAATCTATATATTCTTCAAATAAATTGAAGTTCTAGCAAATAAAACAGACGTGTATATTCAGTTCTACTTTTGAACTGATTCTTATGAAAGAAAATATTCCAAAATTTAGCTGAAGGTAATAACACAGCTACTTGGAAACCATATTTCCCCTTGGTTTAAGCAATCTGCTTGCTCATAAGAAGCCTTTGACAGCTCAGACATAAATATATATAGTGCTTATTAGCTATTAGCTATTATTAGGTCTTATTGGAGACCTAGCCATCTCAAATATTGAAATAAATGGCTGTTTGGCTATTCTGAACCTTTCAATAATGGATAAGTGCTTTAGATAATAAAGGCCATGCTTGCATACATGAACTTGCTTCTTTAAAAAAAACTTAAGCAAATGCTTTCTGTTTCCCACCCTTTCAGCTTCTTTGTCAGTGGAAAAGCAAATACTGCAGCTTCAATATGTTTATTTTTGATCAGTGTTACTGTGGAAGTTATAAGGTCTAATATTTCTGGGACAAAGTGTCTCTTCCCTCAAATAATGCACAATATCATATTGATTGGAATTCAGTGTATTTATAAGCCAGTAACTTTTTTAAAAAAAGTACTTATTTAAGACTGATCATCTTAAAGTGAATGCCAGAAAGAAGGTGTTTCACAATAGGTGTGGGGTTTTAAATGAGTATCTGTTTATCAATAAAGTTCAATTGTGCTTATTTCCTATAACACAGTCCTGAGTTAATTTTAAAAAGCACTCTGCCATGTTTCTAAAGATACTGTGTTGCACATGTTAATGTCCTGCTTTCTCTATACACTTACCTCAGGTAGTAGCTAGATTGGCCTCTGCAAACTAACTTCTCATACAAGAACTCTCTCAAATATGAGGAGAACTAAATTGTCAAAGATATTGATGTTCCTTTCTTTTCTCCTAGCTAAGGAGTTCATTCAAACAAGCTTTTGGGAAGAAGAAGTCATCAAAACCTCCTTCCTCTCATTCTGACATAGAAGAAGTCACAGATTCATCTGTTCCATCCTCACCCAAATTACTTCATGGCTCTGGTGATTGTGGATCTACTTCAATCAGGCCATCCCAATCAACTTCACTGTATGTTTATTCTTTGAGAAATGTTTAATTGTGAAAGTGTCATTTTTTATGGGATAGTTTTGGAAAATGTCACTATTATTTCTGAAATATGGTTGTGAGTTACCAAGAAGCATTGTCTCTTTTTTAAGATTCAAGCCATTTTAATTCTTTACAAATAGTCCTTGCTTAATGACTATAATTGGAATCAGCAACTCTGTTGCTAAGTAACAAAAGATCATTTAACTGCACCTGACGTACATGCAGTTATAGTTGACTTATCCATTATTTTTAAGTGAGGCATCACATGACTCGAAATTTTACTGCTGGCTTATGCATTGCTTTTGCTTATGAGAAATCAGCTAAGAAAAGGTGACCACAGTCAGGTGACCACAGGAGGCTAAAATGGTTAAAGTATCCTTCAACCCTTCTGTTATTCTTACATTTCATATTAAATTGTTGCTTTTTAAAATTAGCTACCACTTTCTTTAAAAAAAACCACATTCCTTTCTTATCCAAATTTTCAGCTATTGTTGTTTGTTATTTTTTCTTTTCTGCCTTAAATAATGTCTAACAGCTGGATTTACTCACATGGCTAAATGTGAAGCTAAAAATCTATAGGAAGAATAATCTGTATATATTAGATCTCTCCTCTACATTTTCTATAGACACCATTTGCCATTAATGAGCAAAATTTCTCTAAACAATAATTCTCCTTGGTTTTCTCAAACCCAAGCAAAGTAAGTCTGCTAAAACACATACTCATGAATGTACATGAATGCAAGAGAAATCCAGTCAGGGTAGGGGAGAAGGAGCCACTCCTGTTTAATAGTGAATTGCCAAATTAAAATGAATTGTGTAAAATAATTTCTCATAATATCCTGCCAGTTTCTTGAATCACAAGACACATGCCTCCTTTTGTTCAATCCCAGAAACTCTTTGACCATGAATACAATAACTTTGATGATTGCTGCTAATAATGAAACTGGTGTAGCATGGGCCAGCTGTTCCCAAGCTAATAAGGATCATTTCTCAACATATCTCAGCTGCCTTCTGTAACCAAGAAGCAAGTAGCTAAATATTCATTAACATAGACGAATCTGAGAAAGCAGCTTAAAATGTAAATCCTGAAGCATTGGCATTTACATAGCTCTGATTGGAATATTAAGGTAGGCTAAATCTGTTGTAATACCCTTCACTCTTAAATCATTTTGCAGAATCTTCTGCCAAATAAATCAATTCCTAAATAGATGGAAGTTTGTAGAGTTACAGTTACAATCATGCTGACATGAAACATGCCACTTGCCACTCTGCAAAACATTCTGCTGGTTGCGGATCAAGAAATGCTACCCATTTCAACATATATATTAAACTGCAGTGATGTGTTAAAAGGGACTTTCTTTCTTTCTGGTTCACAGTTATGCACCATAATAGTGCAATTGTGATTCCTCATGATACATCTATTTGTTGAGGTGCAGCATTTCAAATTACCAATTGGGCAGAGGCAGATACCAAATATCTGAATATTTTTACCTGCTGAAATAATCTTTTTGCACATTGCAAATCAGCCTATCAGAAAAGATAGGCTTTCAGCCTATCCTAGCAGTTTCTCTTAAAATGGTAGATTAAACCTGCCTTAAATGTGTGGCATAAAATAGCAATCTTGCATGTAATGACTGCACTCCAAAGCATGCTGATAAAAATCACACTGAATACTGTAAAACCTTAAAATTGTACCTTAAGTCTTGTACTTGTAGGTTTTGGTTTTGATCATTGTGGTTTATGTTATTCCCACATTCAACATGATAATGAAAGGCATAAACAAGAGTTGTTTAAATTGTGACATAATCTTCATAATTAGTTATCATTCCCTCTTAAAGCTTTTACTTTTTCATTCTACTGCATTTTTTATTCTGTTTCTTTCTTGGTTTCTTATCTTCTAAACCATTTCCTTTACTTTCTTTCACTTGCATCTGTCTGTCTAATGCGTGTATATGCAGGTCATCTCTATTCTGGGCTCCAAAGAAAAGGCAAAATGGTCCCGTGATCTACAAGCATAGATCCCGGTAAATTGGTACAAGGGGCTTGGAGTTATTTATCCAAGAACTAGATGGAGGTTATCTATTCTTTCCCTAAATGTCTTTGCAGGCATGCTTTGAAAATACAGTATATCGGTTATATGTTGAAGAAAAAACTAAAACTAAAAGAGTATTATGTGAACAATGGTGTGGTTACTATGGTACATCAGTTTAGTAATGAGAAGAAAGGACATGTTTTTTTTATGCTCCAAAGGAAAGAATTAAAAATTGCATTTTCAATTTTAATTCATTGTTAAAGTTTAAATGTTCTCAATTTCATCTTACCTGGTGTCAGAACAGAAGCATGTTGTCATGTAGATGTATTTTCTGCTGTCTGTTATGCCATGCACAAAGGTTTCTTGTTTTCCAAACAGAATATACTCGGTGCAACTCATGGAAAATATTGAATATTTAGAATTTTTGAAATAGTTACAGATTAAATTCTACAGTCATAGAACAGACATTTTAAACACCACAAAAAAAGAAATTAAGTCAGTTCACATATACTGATACTTAACATAAGTATTCATGTAATCTCATTATACATGAGTTGGACTGAAAGAGAAATCTTCTGAAAAAATCAAAAGAGAAAAGTAATAGTTTAATAGTAGCAATGAATTTTTAAATTGTACTATTTTGAAAATTGTTTACTTTTAATGAAAGTAGAGGTACTATTTAATATAGGAATGATTTGTAAAATTCAGTCCTATTGAATTTGGAGTATAAAACATCATTGTTCTTATAAAAGAAAATAAATAGAAAAGTTGTAGAAACAACATTACAACTTTACCTAGATACTGTTTCCCCCTTTCACTTTTTTCAATTAAATTGATTCATATTGCTTTGATTAAATTCTCCCTCCTCCTCCTAGGAATCAGCAGCAGAAACCTTTTCTGATTCTTGGATATACTATAATAATACACTCCGTGAGAAGAGAACCTTCCTTTAATTTTCTGCCTCCCTACCTTCTCCTGTTTTTTTAGGATCTGTGAATGCACAGAAGCAGAGGCAGAAATAATTCTGCAGCTAAAAAATGAGCTCAGGGAGAAAGAGCTCAAACTTACAGATATTCGTCTTGAAGCTCTTAGTTCTGCCCATCACCTTGACCAAATTCGGGAAGCCATGAACCGCATGCAGGTCTGTTCTATGGAACAACTGATTATTTATTTATTTTTAATAATGGCCAATTGTAATCACCCTGAACTTAACAGAGCCATGAAATGGGATGAAAGCCAGCAGTCACTATTGGGATTGAAAAATAATTAGGTGAAACATAAATTAGATTGAACCGTTCCTTTATAAAAAAAAAACACCCCATTATTTTACATGACATCCCTGTGGTAGTTATTGGCAAAAATTCTCTATAATTGTCAATTCTTTTGCAAAATGTTATAACTTATTCAAAAAGCAGAAGGACTTCTGGGTATTTAGAATATTCTGGTTGCTTCAATCAAAACTACATATTTTTTTAAAAAGAAAATCTTCATAGTTGCTTATTTCAATGGCTCAAATTCGAACTAATCAATATTATCTTTTTTTTCTACGATTGTCTTGTTCATCAGATAAGGATAGCCAAATCTGTATATTTCACATTTACTTTACTAATTTCAAGCATTTAATATGATTGCAATGCTGTGCTCAAAGTGTAAAATTGAAAGAGAGAGCACAATTCAGACCAACCTGAAATCAAATTCCAAGAGTCTGATAGAATGGTTCTTGTACTTGTGGAGATATGAGCCCTTTTGCATTGAAAAGCTGAATTGATGTGATTCAGTCTTCTAAACAAAGAAAATAAAATAATTCAGTGGGTCAAAAAGATAGAATGCAGTGCTTAATTTGTGAAATACCAGTATACATATAAAAATTCAGAAGTAAAAGTTGAAACAATATAGATAATATTTACCGAAAGACTAATTTATCTAAATTTCTGCACTTGCCATGTTCACGGGTTTCTTATTCTGAAATTGTAAACAACTGCACATAAAGTAGGTAAATATGCAGAAAGATTTTATTATGTATAGACTCACATGAAATACAATGTAGCAAAATTTTTGTATGCACCTTTTGTATTCACTCTACAGCTACGACTGCACTCCCTCTTGTCCCACTAACTCTATAATAGAATGACACCACATTGGCGTGACTCATATCAGGAGGAGATGAGACGGCCTATAGGTCAGAGGTTCTCAGACTGGTCTTGTGGTATAAGAGTCATAACCTCACCCTGAACATCAAAAAAACCAAAGAATTGATTATAGACTTCAGAAGATGCAAAGCAGAACCTCTCCCACTATATATCAATGGAGACTGTGTGGAAAGAGTTCATAGTTTTAAATTTCTAGGAACTCATATTTCCGACAACCTTACTTGGTTGGTCCATACTATGATCACTGCAAAGAAGGCCCAACAGCGCCTGCACTTTCTGAGGTTGCTGAACAAGAGAGGTTTGGGTGAGAAGTTGCTGGTTACTTTCTACTGGTCTAGCATCGAGAGCATTTACTGTGTAACAGTGTGGTATGCTGGATGCTCTGCAGTGGATAAGAAGAGGAACACATAACTCTCTGCAGTGCTCCAGAGAGTTATAAACACAGCACAAAAAATCATAGGTTGCTTGCTCTCTTTCTTCTTTGGAAGAGATTGCGAAGACCAGACTCCTCTCTGGAACACTAAAAATCTCCACAGACTGTTCTCATCCTGGACATTCATATTTTGATCTGTTACCATCAGGGAGGTGTTATAGGTGTCTTAAAATGAAGATGTTATGTATGGAGAATAATGGAGACCAGACATCTGACCAGTGACTTCAACTCTTTAGTAACAGTAAATAGAACAGAACAGAGCAAGGCTATGGGCAGCAGTAACCTTTTTATAGGGTTAGCTGCTACCTTATTAACCAATGAGATGAGCAACAAGTTCAAACTAATAACCAATAAGAATAGTCCAAATAGTGGCCAATCAGGGACTAGTTCTGGCCCAATCCAAAGTTGTTGTATAAGGACCAATCAAGTGTGCAGGTTTTCAAACCCTGATTTGCATTTAAGTTATTAACTTTTATTGATTCACAACACCCCTCCCCCTTGGGTTCCATTTGAGGGGAGCTGTAATAAAATCCTCAAGATAGACAGGCCGTTTGGTCTGCCTGGATGATTTCCGAGGCTCCACCGGTTTTGGTCTAAGGTCCGGTTCCGGTGGAGCGTTTGGATGATCTTTATTAAATTCTGTTTCGCTGCACGGTGATTCCTTGCTGCTTTCACTCTGGTTGTCTCCGCTACTCCGTGTTTCTTCGGGGTTTTGCAGTTCGGTTTCCCCCGTATTAAAGTTCCCTGAAAAAGTCAACTCCCTCCCCGTTTCACGTTCCGGTGTCTCGCTGGGCCGTAGGGTTTCCGTTGGCCTGCTATTTGTCATATCAAAGTCAATTCCCTCGATATTTCCTCCCCCTTGAGTTGGTGAACCCGGGGAGTCATGGGCGCTGGGTGGTAATCTCGATCGGAGTTGGTCTATGTGGCGTTTCCACACCCTCCCATCATCTGTTAGCAGGCGGTAAGATCTAGGCCTGGTGAGGTGGGTAACGGTTGCGGGTATCCACAACGGGTCGCCGGAAAAGTTTTTGGCAAAGATTAAATCGCCTACCTTAAATTCCCGGCATTTGCTGCTGGAGCCGAAGGGCTTTTCCGGTGCGAATGCGGGGTGGAGCCGGTCAAGGTGCGATCGTAGTTTCCGCCCCATAAGAAGTTCAGCGGGTGTTTTGTTGGTCACGCTGTGGGGCGTGATATGCTGTAACAAGAGAATTCGATTGATTTTCTCGTCGATGTTGCCGAATTCCATTTTGTGAAGGGTCTTTTTTACAAATTGTACCATACGTTCTGCACGTCCATTGGCCGCAGGGTGCGTGGGCGAGGTTAGCGCATGGCGGATGCCCCGATCAGCAAGATATTGTTCAAAGGGTAACGCAGTAAACTGTGGGCCGTTGTCCGAGACCAACACGTCTGGGAACCCATGTGTGGCAAATAGTCTGTTTAATTTATTGATAACTGAGTCCGTTGTAGTTGTGTTCATTCGATGGATCTCGAGCCAATTCGAATAGGCGTCGACAGTAATAAGGAAAGTGTGTCCTTTGGTAGGCCCCGCAAAGTCAATATGAATACGGGACCATGGTCCCCTCGGAGTTTCCCATTCGGTTGGGATTGCTTTAGGCGGAGCGTTGCTGACGTCTTGGCAACGTTGACAAGTAGCGACCCAGGCCTCGATTCTTTTGTCGATTCCCGGCCACCAAGCGTAGCTGCGTGCAAGTGCTTTCATCCGCACGATACCCGGATGTCCTTCATGCAATACCGCCAAAACAGTTTGTTGCAATTTGCTAGGGATTACGACTCGATCGCCCCACAAGATACAGCCTTTCTGGGAAAACAGCTCGGTTTGGCAGCTTTTGAAAGGCGCCCATTCCGGTGCTATTTGGTCTGTCGGCCACCCCCGTTCAACCCAGCGTAGGATGTGTTGCAGAACTGGGTCACATTTTGTTTCAAAGGCAATGTCTCTAGCCGTCAATGGTGGCACATGTAGAGCTTCGATCTGTAGTGTTGAGATGGTGGGGGCTGGATCTACAGCAGAGTCTGGAAGCGGCGTTCTGCTCAATGCATCAGCGTGGAGAATTGATTTCCCCAGGCGATGTTGCAAGGTGTAGTTGTAGGCCGCCAAGAATTCAGACCAACGGGTCATTCTGGGGGACAATATATACGGGGTTGGTTTATTACCCGCAATGATTCCCAGTAGCGGTTTATGATCAGTGATTATTGTAAACGCACGGCCATAGACATATTCATGAAATCTTTTAACTGCAGCCACAATAGCTAAAGCTTCTTTGTCCAGCTGACTATAATTTCGTTCAGCTTTAGCTAAGGTTCGCGAAAAAAACGCGATGGGGGCTTCCGCTCCATTTGGTAATACGTGGGCCAGAATTGCCCCGACCCCAAAAGGTGATGTGTCACACGTGATAGTGAGCGGCAGAGTCTCGTTGTACTGCATAAGTACAGAATCAGAAGTTAGCAATTTCTTTACTTGTTGGAAAGCATGTTGTTCCCGTTGTCCCCACACCCACGTTGCTTTTTTGTCTAATAGTCTATGCAATGGTTCAGCTACCGTTGCTTTGTGGGGTAAAAAGACATTATAGAAATTGATAAGTCCAAGGAACGCCTGTAGGTCTGCCTTGTTCCTTGGAGTGGGGGCCTTTTTAATTGCCCGTAATTTGTCTTCGGTGGGATGGATTCCTTGGCTGTCCAGGAGATATCCCAGAAATTCTACTTTTTCGGTACATAACTGGCATTTATCTTTTTTTACTCTGAGGCCTGCATTTTGGAATCTTCGTAAAACCTCTCTGAGTCGTTTTTCTAGAATGTCTTTGTTAGGTGCGGCGATGAGTACTTCGTCGAAATATGGGACAACGCCTCTTATCCCTTGTAACAACCTTTCCATTAAACTCTGGAAGATTCCAGGGGCGACGCTTACCCCGAATTGGAGCCGGTTGCATTTAAATGCGCCCCTATGCGTTACGATCGTTTGCGCCTCAGCTGTGGTTGGATCTACAGGCAATTGTTGATACGCCTGGGCTAGATCTAGTTTGGCGAAAACTTTCCCGCCACCCAGGGAATGGAGCAAGTGTTGCACTACCGGCACTGGATATGCACTTTGCTGCAGTGCGTGGTTTAAGGTGGCCCGGTAGTCTCCGCAAATTCTTAGGGACCCATCAGGTTTGATAGGCGTCACTATCGGGGTTTCCCAACGGGCGTGGTCGGTGGGTTCCAGTACGCCCTGCGCTATTAGCTTATCGAGTTGTTCGTCGATTTTAGGCTTCAAGGCGAACGGCACCCGACGCGGCTTAAGGCGGATGGGTGCTATCTCAGGGTTCAAGTTAAATGAGATCGGGGTCCCCTTATACTAGCCTAGTCCGTTCGCGAAAACGTCTTGGAATTCTTGCACGAGTGCTTCCTCCCAATCGCTGCTCTCGGCCCTGTGGACTTCGGCTACAGTGATTCCGAGCGGTCTGAACCATTGAAGGCCTAAAAGGCTAGGCCTGTCGCGGTCCACGACAGTCAGTGGTAGTGCGACGGTGCGGTCCTTGAATGAGACCTGGAATCTGCGGGACCCGACAACGGGAATTCTGTTACCCTGATAGTCTTTGAGTATAACCCTTTGAGGGTTAAGGTCTTGGCGGCGAATCGTTGGAATGAGCTGTTGTAGCATTTTCCACGATACCATCGAGAGGGAAGATCCCGAGTCCACTTCCATCACACAAGGTTTGTTTTTGATGGCGACCTTTACTCGGATTTTCCCGGCATCAAGGGATGTAGCATGGCCTATGGTGATTGTTTGGTGGGTCTCTTCCCGCCGGGTTTCTTCGCGCCTGGTGGAAGTGGTGGACGGTTTGTTTCTGTAGGAGTGGTTTCTCCATTGGTGGTTCAATTTTTCTCGGTGTGTGCCGAAGAATCCTGAAGATTGGCATTCGGCCTGTCGGGGTTTGGAGTTCTGTTTGCTTCTGCAAACCTTTGCGATGTGACCTCATCTTCCGCAATTGCGGCAGAGTGCGTCGAGGAATTTGCAGCCGGATCGTGGGTGATTGGCTCCACAGCCGGCACACGGTCGAAATGAGTGTTGTGTGGACTGGTCTCGCTCCGTTCGAAGTCAGTTGACCTCTTCCTCATCGCTGTCGGACGGGGACTCTAGGTCTTCGTGGTGAGTTGATACCGGGTGTCTCTCTGAGCGAGGCGAGGTATCAGTGGCGAGTTTACGTAGCGGTGCGTTGGTGCGGCGCATTCGGGCTGCCGACTTCTTGGTCGCCTCCGCTGCCGAGGCTTCTTTAAGGGCATCGGTGAGGCTGATGTCCCCCTTAGCCATGATTTTGCTCTGGATCGTGCCGTCTTCTAGGCCCAGAACCAGGCGGTCCTGGAGGGCTTCTTCTAAGTCTGCGAATCCGCAGAGGCCTCCAAGGTTGCGGAGGTCCGCGATGTAATTGGCAAGGCTTTCGCCTTTCCGTTGAACCCTCTGGTAATATTCGTGTCTTCTGACTAAGGTTGGCACGGTGGGCGCGTAGTGAGCCCGTAGTAAAGGCTCGAGGACGTCCCAGTCCATCTCTTTTACCTCTGCTGGCTTGGCAAGTGACTTTGCCATTTTAAACACGGTAGGCCCGCAGTGAGTTAGAAAGATAGCTCTTTTTTTGCCAGTTGTTGCATCTTTCAAATTGTTGGTCTCCAGAAACATCTGGAACCGATCCATGTATGCCTCCCAGTCTTCGGTTTCTGGGTTGAATGGAGCGGGTGGTACGGCACCGCTGGCCATGTTGCCGTCGATGGTGCGTGTTCGACCACGTGCTCTGTTGGTTGCTCTGTAGGTTAGTCAGCTCTTCGGTCTCCGAATCCCATCCTCGTCGCCAGTGTTATGTATGGAGAATAATGGAGACCAGACATCTGACCAGTGACTTCAACTCTTTAGTAACAGTAAATAGAACAGAACAGAGCAAGGCTATGGGCAGCAGTAACCCTTTTATAGGGTTAGCTGCTAACTTATTAACCAATGAGATGAGCAACAAGTTCAAACTAATAACCAATAAGAATAGTCCAAATAGTGGCCAATCAGGGACTAGTTCTGGCCCAATCCAAAGTTGTTGTATAAGGACCAATCAAGTGTGCAGGTTTTCAAACCCTGATTTGCATTTAAGTTATTAACTTTTATTGATTCACAACAGAAGACTAATAGATTGAGAAACAGTTTCTTTTCCAAGGAAGTAATTGTCTTGAATCAAACAGTGCATTTGTGATTTAGTCCTATTATTATTATAATTATTTTAATTTTTAAAAATCTGTAGTGTGATTGTGATGTGGTGTTTGGGGCACTGTGCTGGAGTAGCTTGCAAATTTCATTGTATTCGGTCAGATCTTCTGCTTTCTGTGTTCTGTGATTACTTAGGGAGTGGGTAAATTTTTCTTATGCTGTTTCCATAATTTACTTATAACATTTGTCTAGTTGAGTAATAGTTATAATTGTCAAAATATCTGAATGACTGATTGCCAAATTAGAACATTTGTATTTAACTTAGTAGTTTGGTTTTTTTTAAAGCACTGGTATTAGTTTGATGAGTTAATTAATTTGTCATTGCAGGAGACTTAAAGAAAGCACTGAACCCTTTCTTTCCTTACCATAATATAGAGCAGCCATCTCAAACTCAAGGCCCACAGATCAGATCTGGCCCGCAGGATGCTTAGATCTGACCCACGGGGCTGGCCTGGAAAAAACAAAGGACCAGTCGACGGTACCTAGTGAAAATGGAGCTCGGGGGATCACGTGCAACCCCCAGGCTCCATTTTTGCTGGCAGAGGGGTTCAGGAGGCAATCCAGGTCAAAAATGGGGGATGGGGGGGATGTGCGATTTTCTCCCCCCCCCCCCCCCCCCAGCTCTGTTTTTGCTGTCAGAGTGCTGCAGGAGGCTATCCATTTTCACTGGCAAAGGGCTATCAAAACAAACTAAAAACAAATGGACAAACGTTTCCCCTTTTGCATTTTAGCATGCAAGAAGGGACAGGAAAGGAGAAAGAGGAAAGTCAAAGAAAAAGAAGGAAAGATGGAAAGAGAGCAAGGAAGGAAAAATGAGGAAAGAGGGGAAGGAAGAAGAAAAGAGAATGAAGAGGGGAGGGAAAAGAAGAAAAGGAAGGAAGGAAGGAAGGAAGGAAGGAAGGAAGGAAGGAAGGAAGGAAGGAAGGAAGGAAGGAAGGAAGGAAGGAAGGAAGGAAGGAAGGAAGGAAGGAAGGAAGGAGATTATAATGAGAGTGAGGGGGGTTTCAGGGAAGTCCTGCCTTAGCCACCTTGGTGGCCCCAACAGGTGTCCCGTGTCACGCACACCATGGCCACACCTGCCCACACCCACCATGGCCATGCCCACCAGCCCTCTGAGGTCAAACACAACCCTGATGCTGCCCTCAATGAAATCAAGTTTGACACCCCTGATATAGAGAGACAGCCTTCATCTGCAATTGGTGTTTTCAATGGAAGGAAAGAGATCCTTAATCTGAATTTGATTTAGTTCTTTAAGTCTATTTTTAATTACATAAAATCTCCCACAAAAACTACTACTTGGATTTATCTTAATAATGCAATTAAATGTGAGGCTAATTATCATGATATTAGATAGATATTATTTTGCATCGCCATAATTATATGATATATCTCAAAAATATGATAGCCTCAAAGTTCTAGCTGCAATACCAATGAAAATTCTTTCCATATTTTTTCCACCTCTGTTAACTGTTTGATCTCAATGGTTAAATTATCATTATCCATTTTATGCCAGAAAGATTAGAAATCTCTGCTTCGATTATTTAATTGTTTCTTACTTGTATTTTAAATGTTAGAATGAAATTGAGATTTTGAAAGCTGAGAATGATCGTTTGAAGGCTGAGACTGGAAGCACTAGCAAACCTATCAGGCCATGTTCAGAATCCTCAAGCAGCACATCTTCCTCCTCTTCACGACAATCTCTAGGTCTCTCTCTGAATAACTTAAACATCACAGATTTAGTTACATCTGGTAAGTAAAAGCTTTATTCTCTTAACAAATATTCTTGCATCAAGGAACACTTCTCTTTCTCTCTCCTCACACATTACCCCACACTTACAGACTTCTTCCCAAATATAATTTTATTGTCAAAGTACAGGGAAATGTAATTACATTTGGAAAGGTGCTCATTATATAAATGAGGTTTACAACTTTGAAAATTAATATGACATGAAATAATCCTGTGTTGTATAAAGGAAAATTGAAATCCTACATTTTTGTTGTTTCTTTCTATTGTATTGCAACAGTAGTATTGGCTGAGTGTTTCCTGCTTTCACTTGAGGTAGTTTTCTATGAGGGAAGCTTCTTCCATCAACAGAATATAGCTCTGCATACAATCTATGTGTATGCAATATATATACAGCAAAATATTGTATATAGAAATTGAATAATTAAATGTGCATTTATAATTTTTTCTTACATATGTGTGTTATATCTGTGTGTCCATATGTATTTTAATTATCTAATATATTCATGTTTTTTTTTCATTGTACATATACTAATAATAAGAACTTACCAGCAGTTTTTAACTTATTTGTGAATATTTTCTTCTTTTGGGGGGGTCACATTTGGAGAGTACTTTCTCAGATATTGGGAAATCTTGGGCTTGGGCTTTAAGGATTCAGAATTTTCTAAGGGTACATTTGGATTCAAGTCCCAAACAATCCAAATATATATACCTTTAACCCCAAATCTTTAAGTAGGTTTGGGTCTACTGTTTTATTTTAGTTTTCTAAAATGATGGATGTTTCAAAAATACAAATGTTAAGGATTTAAATATTTGATATCATGCAAAAAAGGCAACTAAAATAAGGAAATTAGGCCAAAAACTTTTTTTCTCTAAAACAAATGGATAACTCTGATCCAGAGTAATTTTCTTTCAAGAAAATTGTAACCTTTTTGTCATACTTGAAAAACAAACTTTCTTTACTATGCTGCTTACCAAACTGAAACTCTATGGAGATTCTCAGTCATCCAGATCATGGTTGTCCTAAAGGTACTTTTTCAAAAGACAACTGGACTTTCTGATTTTTCTTTGAAGACATTTCAGTTCTCATCCAAGAAGTTTCTTCAGCTCTGAATATGACTATGTATTTTCAGTTTATTCATCCTTGTTAAATACTTGAAGATAATTGATGAATTTTATTTGTATTATTGATTTCATCTTGCATATGATTCTCATCTTTCCTCAGTGATGTAGTATCTGTTTAACATAATTTTTTCCTTTTCTTTTTCTTGTTTTCTACTCTCAACCATATAAGAGTACCATTGAAATGTTAATTATTTTTGTCTTGGCACTCAATGGAACTCTGCAAATGGATGCAACATGCTGATTAATATCTTAATACTGTAACCAGTTTGAACAATCAATCACACAGGGAGATGGCTTTCAATCTATTTATGATCCTCATTAAGTAGATAAGTATGCACATAGAATTGGAAATGTTTCTTTACACATATTACATTCCGACATCCTGAGTTGGAATCTGACTCCAAATCAAAGATTCCAAATATTCCAAATATGTATATTTCTTTTGCTTTTGTCAGCAAAAAATAATAATCATAGACCATTATAATCACAGCCTTTTACAGAATATATTCACAGGAATTAACTTTATTTTTAAAGATCATTTATTTATTGTTTGCTTGCTTAGATATTTTACTGGAAGATGTTGCAGATGGAACTCTCCATAAAGAAGGCCAGAATGTTAAGATTATTGTCACAATAAACAAGGGCTATGGTCGATCAAAGGTATTCTGGCTTCCAAGTTTTATTGCCATTTGATTATCCTAATTATTTTTCTGTAAATGCTACTGTTGCTATAGAGGGTGTTCTGTTCTAATCAGCAATTTATTCAGTTTAGAGTGCAACAAATAATATTGAAAGAATTCCTTTTTCTCGTGCTGTACTTACATTGGCATCATCGACATTTATTGGCATTTTGGTATAATTATGTATGATTTACAGAAATGTGGACATTTATAATTGTATCAGAAGTGGAGCAGTGGTTAGAATGTAGCATTGCAGGCTAATTCTATTGACTGCCAATTGCCAGCAATTTGGCAGTTCAAGTCTCACCAGGCTCAAGATGAGACTCAGCCTTCCATCCTTCCAAGGTTGGTAAAATAAGGACCCAGATTGTTGGGGGCAATATGCTGACTCCGTAAACTGTTTAGAGAGAGCTGTAAAGCACTGTGACTTATATACTGTAAAACAGTAAAACAGTATATAAGTCTAAGATATTGCTGTCAAGAAATGTTTTAATATAAAATCTGCAACATATTTGGTCTCTATCTGTAACATAAAAATGCTATTTTTCTCTGCAGAAAAACACTCAGAGAAACTTGACAAAAAATGTATCAGTATTGAAGTGACTTCTTTTATGTATCATTTATCTCCTCTCTTTATAGGACCAAAGAATACAGGCATATTTGATAGGTTCTATCAGGGTCAGTGGTAAAACAAAATGGGATGTATTGGACGGTGTAATTAGACGACTCTTTAAGGTAAGTTTTTGCAAGTTTAATACAATGAGCATCAAGCAGATTTTGTGAGAGGTTTGAAGTTACCATATCCCACCTGCAAAAATCCAAATGATTACTAGATGTCAACCAAGAGACTCAGAGATCTCTACTTGTGGGCCAGGTTTTTAACAAACCAAATATGTTAGTTTTATATTTGCAACCAGTTAATAGGATAGTTTCTTATCTATTAAGCATAAAAAATAAATAACAGGTAAATAAAGAAAAACATATATGAGGAGCCAGGACATTCTCCACAGTCAGTTAAATAAATGGATTTCACATCTTAGGCTGATTAGGGTCCATGAGATTAGGGTTCATTAGTGTTTTGGGGAATCCTTGGTGTCTTTGAGCTTGGTTGTTTTCTTGCAGATATTTCATTATCAAACTAGGAAACATCATCAGTGCTAGAAGGAAATGGGCTTTGCTCTCATTTAATATGGAAGTTCCTTGCCCTATCAGTGTTGGTGGGAGTGGTCTTGGTACCTTGATTTGATTGTTTATTATTAATTTGTTTGTCTGAGTTGGTAGTTCTTTGATTGGGGTATTAGCATGGGGCCATGCCAAAAAAAAATCTCATTTGAATTACTATAACATACTATATGTGGGGCTGCCTTTGAAGATGATTTGAAAATTTGACTTCAGTGACCATAGAATACAGCCACATGACTGTGATGGGCAAGAGCCTTTTAAACAGGATTACACTATACTGCTGATGCTGCATTAGCTACCTCTTGTTTCCCATTCAAGCTGCTACTTATCACATATAAAACCCTATATGCCTTGTTTACAGATTATCTGTAAACTTCTGATCTAAATGAAATGTTTCTATCTTATATGGTCCAATCAGGAGTAGTTGCCATCTTCCAAAAGTTAGACAGAAAGGAATGACGAAGCAAATCTTTTTCATTGCTGTGCAGTTCCTTAGAAAAATCTGCCACGTGAGATTTAAAGGGCCTTACATTCTAAGCTTTTAGAAGGCTGACTTGTAAGATAGCCTGTAGATCAGGGGTGTCAAACTCGCAGGCCAGATGCATCACATGCTGGCCATGCACATCCCTGTTTTAGAGAATGGGAAAAAAGTCACGATATGTCACATAATGACAACATGACTCTGCAAGATTGACACCCCTGCTCTAGATTAAAACTTGTTACTTTCATAGAACTACCTAAATGCAGCTAGGGTAAATTGAACTTCATTTGCACATGTGATAAACTGGCCAAATGGCCAGAACTATTTTCTTCATAAGTTAAGAAGATTGAAGTTTCTGGTTTTCTCTAGTTTTTAGTTTTTATGATGATATTTTTTAAATACTTGTGTTTTATTATTACAAACTTCCCACAATTTAGGTAGTTTGAAAGATAGAAATCAAGACAATTATAATTATGTCTTATAAAATCCAACAAGAAATACTATCCATTTTTGAGTTATTTTTTTTGACCTTTCCATTTAAGCTTAATGTATATTCTTGATCTACAAGTTGTGGTAATGAGAATGGTAACTAGTAGGTTAATAATTCATTCATTAATACTGCAAACTATGAAAGTTTCCATTTGTTGTTTTTAATTATTATTTTAGGAATATGTTTTCCGAGTAGATCCAGCTACTAACCTTGGTTTGAGCTCAGATTGTATAGCTAATTATTGCGTAGGTGATATAATTAGAGCCCATAACCAAGAAGTGCCTGAACTGCTACCTTGTGGATATCTGGTTGGAGATAATAACATAATCACAGTGAATCTTAAAGGTAAAACACACCTTTAATTTATTCCCTTGTTCTTCTGCATATGCTGTAATGTTGTATTCATAATATACTGTTCAGAAGAGTAGGAAAAAAATATAACTACTAAGTGATCAATTGCACTTTTAAGTAGTATAAAAAGTCATGTAAAAATAAAAGTAATACTTTAAAATAAAGTAATACAATTGTTGGATACCAGTTTGAAGGAGAACATTTCAGGAACAACAGACTATAAGTATTAACTGACCTGGTACAGGTTAGAATAATTTAAATATTAAGCAACCTGGTATATCTGTCCTGGTATACTATACTTGAGATGGCTGCTTTTTAAAACAGTCTGGAACTGATAATGCCCATTTTTCTTCTACACAAGATTTCCACAAATTAGTTTTCCAGAGGTAAATATGACAAATGTTACTTATGTGAGTTTCAGTGTTGGTTCATAAATGCATATCTTCATCAGTGACTACATACATACACAAACACAATGAATTTTAGTCTAAGATTCATTATTACTTAGCTATTCAAATGAAAATAGACATTTCATTTTTAATACTTTTTTGTGAGCTAAGAATCATATTGTAAAGAACAGAATCTAGGAATCTATATACTGATTCAGGAAATTCAAATAAAAATAACATTGACCAGTCCAAACATATATTTGGGACAACCACAGGCAAATATGTTTGTTGTTAATGGAGTGGACATAGCCACATAATATGAGACCGAGCTGATATATCCTTTACATTTCAAACATAGGCCTTATCGCCTCAACCACTTCTCCACTGATGCTTCCTATTTTAACACCATCTAAAATTACTTATTAATGTTAAATTCATTGTGAGAATCTCATACATGCATAGTAATATTTTTTATTTCTTTTAAATGAAGACAAACCTATAAACAGGTTAAATAAATATTGAAGAATGTGGAAGGAGTCTGAATCAAATATTTCAACCATGTGGACAGCGTGTGGGCCTTCAAACAAACTGTCTGTGATTTACAGAGATATTTCTGATCTGCTAACTTATGCTGTAATCAGTTTGACCTTTTTAAGTGTCTAAGACATTTCAGATATGCCTTGCTGCCTAAACTAGTTTTCACTTCACATTTGCTTTGATTGCAAGTGCTTATCTAACCATGTTGCTACATTAATATTCAATGAATTTACTTTTTAAAAAAAATATGAAAAAATATTTCACTAAATGATTCCATACTTTCTCCAAAATGACATAATCAATAGGATTTTTTTTCTCCTGTTTTACTTCTTGTTTTTTGTTTTGTTTTTGTTGTCAGGAGTAGAAGAAAATAGTTTGGATAGCTTTGTGTTTGATACATTAATTCCTAAACCAATTAGTCAACGGTACTTTAATCTACTGATGGAACATCACAGGATTATCCTATCAGGACCTAGTGGCACTGGAAAGACCTATTTAGCCAACAAACTTGCTGAATACCTGATAACTAAATCTGGCCGGAAAAAAATGGAAGATGCCATTATTACTTTTACTGTTGATCACAAATCAAGCAAGGTAAGACCTCAGAAAAAAAGCTATCAACATTATACACATTAAAAAGTAGCATATTTCATTCTTTGTATTAGAATTAGGTAATAACTGAATTTTTTAATGTTTTTACTGGATAATAACTGACATTTTACTTGCTACTTTCATATATTCATATCTGTAATGATTTGCCACAGCATATTTGTATTCATTTTGCCATTTTGTGCTAATTTTGTCCTTCTTATCTGACATATTGTTTAATCTGATATGCCTAATATAAAATAGGGAAATGATACATCTTTGCTGCTCTTGCTTTCTTGAGTATCCACACTTACCCTTCACAATAAGATGTGATCCAGCTGGTTTATATTTGACTTTTTATACAGTTAGACACAATACTATCTGGGTCACATAAGGAATACATTGTCCTTGTAATCATCACATGTCCCAACTAATCTTGGAAAATACAGAATATAGAATAATAGAGTTGGAAGGGACCTTGGAGGACTTCTAGACCAGTCCCCTGCTCAAGCAGGAGACCCTATACCTTTTCAGACAAATGACTGTCCAGTCTCTTCTTAAAAACTACATGGAACACCCACAACACTCACTCACTCTCTCTCTCTCTTTATATACATACATACATACATACATACATACATACATACATACATATATATATATATGGTATTCAGCTTTGTTCGGGTATTTTCCCACATCATTATAGTTGTGCTTTTAAAGTTGTAGCAACGTTTCGGCAGAATCTCATCTGCCATCATCAGGCTTCTGTATTGTATATATATATATATGAGGTTCTTGGCTACGGAGTACCCTCATCTCTAGAACCAAATGCCTAGCTGACAAAGACCACCTGAGAACAGAATTTCACACCCTCACTAATGTATTAATTTCCAACGAATTCCAAAGAAACACAATTACCAACCTAATCCTAAAGGAGACACCCCCCAGAAAACGAGACAGAACAGGACAACGGTATCGCCCTCCTCCCCTACATCAAAGGCACCACAGATAAAATCAGCAAAATTCTCCATAATTCTCCAGCCTTTGGCACTGACCAAAAAATAGCCAACATCCTAAGAAACCCCAAAGACAAGATCCAGCTAGAAAACCAAGGAGTTTATGAAATACCATGCAACAATTGCCCAGCCACATACATTGGACAAACCAGCAGGAGAATAAATGCACGCATCGTAGAACACAAGAACGCAGTCAGAAAAGAAGAAAATACTTCCTCCCTTTTCCAGCACCTTAAAGCCACAGGACATGAAATTAATTTTGAGAGAACCAAATTAATCTCCAATACTGAACACTTCAACAAGAGAATAATCAGGGAAGCCATCAAAATAGAGAAACACCCCCATAACATGAATAAACGGGATGATACCTCCCGCCTACCAGACATCTGGAAACTAGCCCTTATCAACAAACGAGTCCCAGCCATGAAAATGAACACCGGACCCAAAACAACACATGACGCCACTACCAATCTCCCTCACAGACTCAAACCCAAACCCATCCCATAGACGAAAGGCAACCACCACCCAGAAACCAGGCCACAGCTGCATCACTAGCTGCCAAACACCCCGACCCCCAAACCAAGCAAACTGACACATGTCATGAACACATAGCCAGGCCTCAAAGTCGGAGCCAAACCAAAACCCAGAACGTCACATCACAGCCACCTGCTCAGGATATCACATCACGAAATTCAGGAGGTTACAACACAAAACCTCAGGATGTTACAACACAGCCAACAACCCAGGAGATTACAGCACAAGACCCAGGATGTCACAACAATAGAACTAGAAGGTTATCACACAGCCCATGACCCAGGTCATTACAACCCAGGAGATTACAGCACAAGACCCAGGATGTCAAAACAATAGAACTCACATAGCCCATTACCAGGTCGTTACAATACAGGAGGCTGATAGACACACAGCCAATACCTCAGCCACATATGTTCTTGTGAAAAAGCCAGCCAATCTGTAAACATCAACTCCATCAACCAATCAAGAAATGGCAACATAGCCAACCTCCCCACCAGTATTTATAGAGAGATGGCAGCTCCGATCAAGCATGAAGTCGAAAGCACCAGCCTGAAGATGGTGAGTGGGATCTCATCGAAACGTCGCCAAGATACTCTCAATCTTACACAGGAAAAGACCCAAACATGCCAAGACCTGCATACCTATACTCGTGAAAATCTACGAAAATATATATGTGTGTGTGTGTGTGTGTGTGTGTGTGTGTATGTGTGTGTTCTTTACATAGAATATGTGCTTAAAGAACACCCACAACTTCTGAAGGCAAGCCATTCCACTGTTTAATTGTTTTCACTGTTAGAAAGTTTCTCCTTAGTTCTAGATAGCTTCTCTCCTTGATTCGTTTCCATTATTTCTTGTCTTGCCTTCTGATGCTTTGGAAAATAAGTTCACCCCTCTTCTTTGTGGCAGCCCCTTAAATATTGAAACACTGCTATACTGTGTTATCCCTAATCCTTCTTTTCTCTAGACTAGTCATACCTTTATATGTTTTAGTCTCCAGGCCCTTAATCAACTTAGTTGCTCTTCTCTGCACTGCAAAGTCTCAAAGTCTTTTAACAGGTAACAGATAATCCAAGTTGGAAGGGACCTTATAGGTCATCTAATCCAACCCCCCACCCAAGCAGGAGATCCTACACAATTTCTGACAAATAGCAGTCCAATCTCTTCTTCAAGGTCTCAAGTGGTGGCATTCCCACAACTTCAGAGGGCAAACTGTTCCATTGGTTGATTGTTCTCACTGTCAGAAAGTTTCTCCTTATTTCCAGGTTAAATCTCTCCTTGTTCAGTTTCCATCCATTATTCCTTGTCTGGCCTACAGGTGCTTTAGAAAATAGATTGACCCCTTCCTCTCAGTGGCAGCCCCTCAAATATTGGAAGACCGCTATCATGTCTCCCCTGGTCCTTCTCTTTACTAGACTAGCCAGGCCCAGTTCCTGTAACCGTTCTCCATATGCCTTAATCTCCAGTCTCCTAATCATCCTGGTTGCTCTTCTCTGTACTTTTTCTAGAGTCTCAACATCTTTTTTATAATATGGTGACCAAAACTGGATGCAGCACTCTAGGTGTGGTCTTACTAAGGCTTTATAGAGTTTTTAAAATGACTTAACCAAAGCAAGATATGGTATTCTAGATGTGGTCTTACTAAGGTTTTATAAAGTGATACTAATATTTCACATGATCTGAAGTGGTTATTTATGCAGCCAAGGATTGCATTAGCTTTTTTAGCTGTTGCTGCACACTGCTGGCTTATATTTAAGTGACTGCCCTCTAGGACTCCAAGATCACTTTCAGTTACTGCTTTTGAGGCAGGTTTTACCTATCCTGTACTTGTATATTTTGTTTTTCTTGCTTAAGTGTAAAACCTTAATTTTCTCTATATTAAATCTCATTTTGTTGGATATGGATATGTGTTCAAGTCTATCAAAATCCATTTGGATCCTGAGCCTATAATCTGAATTATTGATTATTACTGCCAGATTAGTGAAGTCTGGAGTTTATTAATCAACTATTTAACTGTTATATATGTAGTTTTACAAGGTTCTGTTTTCTTTTACATACTAAAAATTATTTAAAATGACTGAGATAAATTTTGTAGGGATTTGGAGTAAGGTATTTGAATCAATTTTATATCTTTTTCATATTGGATTAAGATGTAGCAGTTATCTCCCTGAGAGGCTGTGGTGGAATGGAAGAGGGTGAATAAACTAAAATCCACTTGTATGATTTACTTATGATGACAGAATGAAGAACTCAAGAAGTTGAGGATTTGCTTTTAAAAGAGTCACACTTTCCTACAACTTAATTTTCCTCACTTGGTAATTTAGGATCCAACTGTACAGATATAGTAGTTGCCTTGATTTAGATTGTAGGAGTTTAAAAAGTTTAAATAACCAGAGCTACACTTCTTCCATATGTTGTTGAATGTCTTTATATAACATGGTATTGTTCTTCAGAAATAGATTTAGCAAGTTATATTCATTTGTATGTGTGGTCCTTGAAAAGTATCGAGAAATTGCAGTTGTTGAAAAATTTAGCAACTAGGTTGCTAATTATTACAAGTACTGTGCAGTACTTGAGAGTATTATTTGAGAGTTTCGTTCTCCCTCATAGCAGCTTGCCTGATTATTGAAATTAGAAGAAAAAGCTTGTTCCATAAACTCACCTACCTAGTATGCCCAAAGCTAGAGAATGTTCTTTCCAACAGACTGACATTTTATTTTAATGATTCTGACTTTAATTTTTACTTTAAGTAATACTGATTTTCTGTTTTGTATATTTAAATACTGTGATGTGTATAAACAAAAAAGTGTGGAAAGAAAGAGGAAGGAGGGAAGACAGAAAGAGAAAGAGAGAGAGAAGGAAGGAAGGAAGACAGAAAGAAAGAGAGAGAGAGAGAGAGA